CATTGCTTGATTACTCTGATCTTTGGTTTCCTCACTAGAGAAAGAAGAATATCACCTTTCTTGTCTTCCCTTGAGGATAAGACATTGCACATCAAGTGACTAGCTAAGTGCCTGGCCCTACAGAGTACGCATTCCATAAATGACAGCTTTTCCATTCAGATCTAAACATACTTAGGTTATCTTTAACTCAACTGCTTTATTGGTGAAGAACCTCTGTTTCAAAGTAGTCTGAAATCTCCAAGAGGAAAGAATGCATTTTCTAATTCCAGATGGGTAACATATAGTAGGCCCAGGATTGAGCTGAACTAAGGAGGACAATCCAGTCTAGGGATGGGGAGTAACTTAGTTTGGATGCCTTATCTGTCCCTTGGCAAATAGCATAGTTTACATGCTTGTCACTATATTGTCTCACTGGTGGAGGAGATGGTTGTAAAAAGGCACAGCACTTTAACAAGCCATGTGTTACTGATTGGTAATGTATGAGCCAAGCCTTTGCCCCCTTTAAAATCTAGAGACTTAAGAGGGGAGAACCAGGCTACCGCCATGTTCATCACAGAAATCTTTTTGTCATGGGGAGGTTCACTTGTTCTGGTAGAAAGTGAGTTATAATTTGTGGGCCATCACGTTTTTTAATATTTGAAATGATAAACCATGCTCCAGCAGTTAAATTCTTTGGAGCGTAGCAAACACCAGAAGACAGTAAGCATCAACAGGCTCCTCTGATTTATGGTAAGCAAGGTTGAGATTTATGACCCTGAAACATGGCAAATATTCATTGGTATTAGCATTCAGAATATTCATGTGTCGCCACTCTTTCATGTTAAATACCTGCTTTGAGCTCTTTGGGGAGAAAAAAAACAAACCCACAATACTTTTCCTTTAGAAGGCCTGACCACATTGACTGATTGAATACATGTGGAATACCAATTCCCATTTTTGAACTTGAGTTTTGTCTTGACTTTTAAAGTTGTTTCATGTTTCTTTTCTCTTCCTGCTTGTCTTCATGAGTATCATTCAAGGGATATAAAATCATAAAACTTTATAGCTGGAGAAAATTTAAGAGATTATCACATCTGTCCTCCTTTGAGGCTAGAAAACAACGTGACCTCGTAAGGACTCACAGTTAGTGAACGTCATAAAGACACTGAGAATTCAGTGCCTCCTGTCCAGTGCTTATTTTAATATTATACACGGTTTTTACTAAATCCCTTTTACAGCAAACACTGTGCTTGGAATCTGATTTAATTTTCAGCATCCCTTTGCTGAACTTAAAAATCATTTTAGCCAAACTATTTGTGATGGTTACTATTGAGCGTCAACTTGATTGGAACGAAGGTTGCAAAGTACTGTTCCCGGGTATGTCTGTGAGGGTGTTGCCAAAGGAGATTAACCTTTGAGTCAGTGGACTGGAAAAGGCAAACCCACCCTCAGTCTGGGTGGGCACCATCTAATCAGCTGCCAGCATGGCTAGAATTAAGCAGGCAGAAGAGTGTGGAAGGACTTGACTTGCCGAGTCTCTTGGCCTTAATCTTTCTCCTGTACTGGATGCTTCCTGCTCTCGAACATCAGGCTCCAAGTTCTGCAGCTTTTAGACTCTTCGGTTTACACCAGTGGTCTGCCAGGGGCTCTCAGGCCTTTGGTCGCAGACGGAAGGCTGCACTGTTGGCTTCCCTACTTTTGAGGTTTTGGGACTTGGACTGGCTTCCTTGCTCCTCAGCTTGCAGACGGCCTATTGTAGGACTTCACCTTGTGATCGTGAGTCAGTACTCCTTAATAAACTTCCCTTCATGTATACATCTATCCTATTGTAGATGGACATCTGTAGAGGGACATTTGTCCGTCTATAAAACACTAACACACTATTTAACACCAAATAATCGTAGACTGTAAAATTCAAGCTATTTTCTTCAATTAAAAAAAAATAATAATTTGGAGCCATCCATCCAAAGAGCTGATACCAGTGGTAATAAGGAAGATAAGCGAGGAACACTTGAATCAGAAGCCTAGTTAGCTTTATGGCATTTACGGTGCAGGCAATGGCATTCAGTCTAAGCTTCTGAATAGAATTATTTTTCAGGAACAATACAAAAACACTGCAGGTGGTAAGTAACATGTTAGATAATGACATAAAATAGGACAAAATTCTCTAGAACTAAAATGCTTCTTTGATTACCCATAGCTGTGATATTCATTCTGTTTTTATCTCTGTTACAATTATTTTACAAATAGAGGAAAACACAAAACATTCTTAAAAATCTCAAACCTAACTTGCCTGAATTCAGGCCCTTAGGCATTTCGACATTTCTTTAATCCATTCCTTAACCACATATTATTGAAGCAACTATTCTGAACCAGACATTGGTCTAGAATAAGATATTGCTGTGTCCTCATGGAAGCGAGAGTTGAGAAAAGATAGGCTAGCAAGAAATTACCATCAAACGGGAAAACCACTAACTGTGGTTCTTTATAAAATCAATTCAATCACCATACCAGAACACTTTCTTTTTGTGGGGGGTGGCGGGGACAGAGTCTCACTCTGTCACTCAGGCTGGAGTGCAGTTGTGCCATCTCAGCTCACTTCAACCCCTGCCTCCCAGGTTCAAGCAATTCTCCTACCTCAGCCTCCCAAGCAGGACTACAGTCATGCATGACCATGCCAGGCTAATTTTTGTATTTTTAGTAGAGATGGGGTTTCACCATATTGGCCAGGCTTGTCTTGAACTCCTGACCTTAAATGATCCACTCACCTTGGCCTCTCAAAGTTCTGGGATTACAGGCATGAGCCACCATGCCCAGCCCCAGGGAATATTTTCTTTTTTTTCTTCTTTCCGAAAAACAGAATGTTTCAGATAATACTTTCTTAAAACAAAAGAGAGTGTAAAACATACACGCATGCATGTGCATGCGCAAGTACACAAAAACACACACATCAAAACCAGAAGAAGAAACGAGTAATTCTTTTTTTAAAAAAATATATTTTTTATTGTATTTTTAGGTTCTGGGATACATGTGCAGATCATGCAGGATTGTTCCATAGGTACATACATGGCGATTTCGTTTGCTGCCTCCATCCCCATCACCTATATCTGGCATTTCTCCCCATGTTACCTCTCCCAAACTCCCTACCCCCCACTGTCCCTCCCCCTAGTCCCCCTCAACAGACCCCAGTGTGTGATGCTCCCCTCCCTCTGTCCATGTGTTCTCATGGTTCAACACCCACCTATGAGTGAGAACATGCGCTGTTTGATTTTCTGTTCTTGTGTCACTTTGCTGAGAATGATGGTTTCCAGATTCATCCATCATTGTTTATGGCTGCATAGCATTCCATGGTGTATATGTGCCACATTTTTCTTGTCCAGTCTATCATTGATGGGCATGTGGGTTGGTTCCAGATCTTTGCTATTGTAAACAGTACTGCAATGAATATACATGTGCATGTATCTTTATAATAGAAAGATTTATAATCCTTTGGATATATACCCACTAATGGGATTGCTGGGTCAAATGAAACTTCTATTTCTAGGTCCTTGAGGAATCGCTACACTGTCTTCCACAATGGTTGAACTAATTTACCTTCCCACCAAGAGCGTAAAAGTGTTTCTGTTTCTCCACATCCTCTGCAGCATCTGTTGTCTCCAGATTTTTTAATGATTGCCATTCTAACTAGTGTCAGATGGTATCCCAATGTGGTTTGCATTTCTCTAATGACCAGTGATGATAAGCATTTTTTCATATGTTTGTTGTCCTCATATATGTCTTCTTTTGAAAAATGTCTGTTCATGTCCTTTGCCCACTTTTGAATGGGTTTGTTTGTTTTTTTCTTGTAAATCTGTTTTAGTTATTTGTAGATTCTGGAAGTCAGCCCTTTGTCAGATGGGTATGTTGCAAAATTTTTTGCCCATTCTGTTTGTTGCCAGTCACTCTAATGATTGTTTCTTTTGCTGTACAGAAGCTTTGGAGTTTAATTAGATCCCATTTGTCTATTTTGGCTTTTGTTGCCAATGCTTTTGGTGTTTTAGTCCTGAAGTCCTTGCCTATGCCTATGCCCTGAATGGTTTTGCCTAGGTTTTCTTCTAGGGTTTTTATGGTGTTAGGTCTTATGTTTAAGTCTTCAATCCATCTGGAGTTAATTTTAGTGTAAGGTGTCAGGAAGGGGTCCAGTTTGTGTTTTCTGCACATGGCTGGCCAGTTATTGCAACACCATTTATTACACAGGGAATCCTTTCCCCATTGCTTGTTTTTGTCAGGTTTGTCAAAGATCATATGGTTTTAGATTTGTGACACTGCCTCCGAGGCCTCTGTTCTGTTCCATTGGTTTACATCTCTGTTTCGGTACCAGTACCATGCTGTTTTGATGACTGTAGCCTTGTAGTATAGTTTGAAGTCAGGTAGCATGATGCCTCCAGCTATGTTCTTTTTTGCTTAGGATTGTCTTAGCTATTTGGGTTCTCTTTTGGTTCCATATGAAGCTTAAAGTGGTTTTCTCCAGTTCTGTTAAGAGAGTCATAGGTAGCTTGATGGGGATAAAATTGAATCTATAAATTACTTTGGGAGTATGGCCATTTTCACAATATTGATTCTTCCTAACTGCGAGCATGGAATGTTTTTCCATTTGTTTGTGTCCTCTCTTACTTCCTTGAGCAGTGGTTTGTAGTTCTCCTTGAAGAGGTCCTTTACATCCTTTGTTAGTTGTATTCCTAGGTATTTTATTCTCTTTGTAGCAATTGTGAATGACAGTTTGTTCTTGATTTGGCTCTCTTTAAGTCTGTTATTGGTGTATAGGAATGCTTGTGATTTCTGCACATTGATTTTGTATCCTGAGACTTTACTGAAGTTGCTTATCAGTTTTAGGAGATTTTGGGCTGAGACAATGGGGTCTTCTAAATATACAATCATGTCATCTGCAGATAGAGACAATTTGACTTCCTCCTTTCCAAACTGAATACTCTTTATTTCTTTTTCTTGCCTGATTGCTCTGGCTAGAACTTCTAATACTATATTGAATAGGAGTGGTGAGAGAGGGCATCCTTGTCTAGTGTCAGATTTCAAAAGGAATGCTTCCAGTTTTTGCCAATTCAGTATGATATTGGCTGTGGGTTTGTCATAAGTAGCTTTTATTATTTTGAGATATGTTCCATCGATACCTAGTTTATTGAAAGTTTTTAGCATAAAGGGCTGCTGAGTTTTGTCGAAGGCCTTCCCTGCATCTATTGAGATAATCATGTGGGTTTTGTCTTTGGTTCTGTTTATGTGGTGGATTACATTTATAGACTTGTGTGTGTTGAATCAGCCTTGCATCCCTCGGATGAAGCCTACTTGATTGTGATGGATAAGCTGTTTGATGTGCTGTTCCTATCAGTTTGCCAGTATTTTATTGAAGATTTTTGCATCTGTGTTCATCATGGATATTGGCCTGAAGTTTTTTTGTTGTTGTTGAGTCTCTGCCAGAATTTGGTATCAGAATGATGTTGGTCTCATAAAATGATTTGGGAAGGATTCTTTTTTTTTTGGATTATTTGGAATAGTTTCAGAAGGAGGGGCACTAGCTCCTCTTTGTACATCTGGTAGAATTTGGCTGTGAATCCATTTGGGCCGGGGATTTTTTTGGTTCATACACTATTAATCACTGCCTCAACTTCAGCCCTTGTTATTGGTCGATTTAGGGTTTCAACTTCTTTCTGGTTTAAACTTGGGAGGGTGCAAGTGTCCACGAATTTATTCATTTCTTCCAGGTTTATTGTGTGTAGAGTTGTTTGTAGTAATCTCTGATGGTAGTTTGTATTTCTGTGGAAGCAGTAGTGATGTCACCTTATCGTTTTTTATTACATCTATTTGATTCTTCTCTCTTTTCTTTTTTATTAATCTGGCTAGTGGTCTGTCCATTTTGTTGATCTTTTCAAAAAAACCAGATGCTGGATTTATTGATTCGTTGAAGGGTTTTTTGTGTCTCTATCTCCTTCAGTTTTGCTCCAATCTTAGTTATTTCTTGTCTTCTGCTAGCTTTTAAGTTTTTTGATCTTGCTCCTCTAGTTCTTTCAATTTTGATGATAGGATGTCAGTTTTCGATCTTTCCTTGCTTCTCATGTGGGCATTTATTGCTATAAATTTCGCTCTAGACACTGCTTTAAATGGGTCCCAGAGATTCTGGCATGTTGTGTCTTTGTTCTCGTTGGTTTTGAAGAATATCTTTATTTCTGCCTTCATTTCATTGTTTATCCAGTCAACATTCAAGAGCCAGTTTTTCAGTTTCCATGAAGTTGTGCAGTTCTAAGTGAGTTTCTTAATCCTGAGTTCTAATTTCATTGCACTGTAGTCTGAGAGACTGTTATGATTTCCATTCTTTTGCATTTGCTGAGGAGTGACTTACTGCCAATTATGTGGTCAATTTTAGAGTAGGTGCGATGTGGTGCTGAGATTTTGTTCTGAGAAGCATGAGTAGGTGTGATGTGGTGCTGAGAAGAATGTACATTCTGTGGATTTGGGGTGGAGAGTTCTGTAAATGTCTATTAGGTTTGCTTGGTCCAGATCTGGATTCAAGTCCTGGATATCCTTGTTAATTTTCTGTCTCCTTGATCTGTCTAATATTGACAGTGGAGTGTTAAAGCCTCCCACTATTATTGTGTGGGAGTCTAAGTCTCTTTGCAGGTTGTTAAGAACTTGCTTTATTTACCTGGGTACTCCTGTATTGGGTGCATATATATTTAGGATCGTTAGCACTTCTTGTTGCATTGATCATTTTACCATTATGATTACATGCCCCTTTTTGTCTCTATTGATCTTTGTTGGTTTAAAGTCTATTTTATCAGAGACTAGGATTCCTACTCCTGCTTTTTTTTGCTCTCCATTTGCTTGGTAAATCTTTCTCCATTCCTTTATTTTGAGCCTACGTGTGTCCTTGCATGTGAGATGGGTTTCCTGGATATAGCACACCAATGGGTTTTGATTTATTATCCAATTTGCCAGTCTGTGTCTTTTGATTGGGGCATTTAACCCACCTACATTTAAGGCTAATATTGTTATGTGTGAATTTGATCCTGCCATTTTGATGCTAGCTGGATGTTTTGCCCATTAGTTGATGCAGTTTCTTCATTGCGTTGATGGTCTTTACCATTTGGTACATTTTTGGAGTGGCTGATACTGGTTGTTCCTTTCTGTTTAGTGCTTCTTTCAGGAGGTCTTGTAAGGCAGGCCTGGTGGTGACAAAATCTCTCAGCAATTGCTTGTTTATAAAGGATTTTATTTCTCCTTTACTTATGAAGCTTAGTTTGGCTGGATGTGAAATTCTAGGTCAAAAGTTCTTTTCTTTAAGGATGTTGAATATTGGCCCCACATTCTTCTGGCTTGTAAGGTTTCTGCTGAGAGATCCACTGTGAGTCTTGATAGGCATCCCTTTGTGGGTAACCTGACCTTTCTCTCTGGTTGCCCTTAGCACTTTTTCCTTTATTTCAACCCTGGTGAATCTGACGATTATGTGCCTTGGGGTTGCTCTTCTTGAGGAATAACTTTGTGGTGTTTTCTGTATTTCCTGGACTTGAATATTGGCCTGCCTTGGTAGGTTGAGGAAGTTCTCCTGGATAATATCCTGAAGAGTGTTTTCCAGCGTGGATTCATTCTCCCCGTCACATTCAGGTACACCTATCAAATGTAGATTAGGTCTTTTCACATAATCCCATATTTCTTGGAGGCTTTATTCATGTATATTTACTCTTTTTTCCTCTAATCTTGCCTTTTCATTTTATTTCATTGAGTTGATCTTCAATCTCTGATATTCTTTCTTCTGCTTGATCAGTTCAGCTTTTGAAACTTGTGTATGCTTCATGAAGTTCTCATGTTGTGTTTTTCAGCTCTATCAAGTCATTTATATTCTTCTCTAGGCGATTTACTCTCATTAGCATTTCGTCTTCATCTAACCTTTTTTCAAGGCTCTCAGTTTCTTTGCATTGGGTTAGAACATGTTCTTTTAGCTCAGAGAAGTTTGCTATTACCCATCTTCTGAAGCCTGTTTCTGTCAATTCATCAGACTCATTTTCTATACAGCTTCGTTCCCTTGCTAATGAGGAGTTGTGTTCCCTTGGAGGAGGAGAGGCATTCTTGTTTTGGGTGTTTTTATCCTTTTTGTGCTCATTTCTTCCCATCTTTATGGATTTATCTACCTGTTGTCTTTGTAGTTGATGACTTTCAGATGTGGTCTCTGAGTGGACGTTCTTTTTATTTGAAGTTATTTCTTTCTGTTTTTTTACTTTTCCTTCTAACAGTCAGGCCTCTCTGCTGCAGGACTGCTGGAGGTTCACTCCAGACCCTCCTTGCTTGGGGATCACCTGTGACAGCTGCAGAACAGTAAAGGTTGCTGCAAGTTTCTTTTTCTGTTATCTTCATCCAGATGGATACCTGCCAGATATCAGCCTGAGTTCTCCTTTATGAAGTGTCTCTTTGGATATAGAGAGTCAGGGAGCTGCTTTAGGAGACAGTCTGTCCCTTATAGGAGCTCAAGTGCTGAGCTGGGAGCTCTGTTGTTCCATTTAGAACTTCTTGGGAGGTATGTTTAAGTCTGCTGCAGCAGAACTCATAACCACCTTTTTTTCCCAGGTGCTCTGTTCTGGGAAGGTGGGGCTTTATTTATAAGTTCCTGACATGCTGCTGCCTTTTTTCAGAGATGCCCTGCCCAACAAGGATGTAGTCTAGTCACAGTCTGGCAGCAGAGGCATTACTGTGCTGCTGTGGGCTCTGCCCAGCTGCTGTGTGAACTTCCTTGCAATTTTGTTTACAGAGGTACAGTTAGAACTGCCTCAGTAATGGCAGTCTGCCTCAGTAATGGTGGACTGCCTCGGTAATGGTGGACTACCTCGGTAATGGCTGACTTCCTTCCAGATTATCCCAGCTCCAGCTACACTTGCTGTGAAATCCTCAATCCAGAGCATTTCGGAATGCTGATTTTTGTGAGGGGTGGGACCTGCTGAGTCAGATCTCTCGGCTTCCTGTTTCAGCCCCCTTTTTTTCCGTTGAATGGGTGGCTCTGTATCCCAGGCATACCAGGCGCCTCTTGACATGGCCACCCGGATTTGTGTGAGCTTTTGTGTGGAGACCCACAGCACTGGCTGAAACAACCGTGCTGGAAACTTGTGGTTCTTTTCAGCCTGGGAATCTCCTGGTCTGTGGGCAGTAAAAACTCGTTTGGAAATGCAGTGATCACTCACCTTCTGCTTTGTTCTCACTGGGAACTGCACTCCAGAGCTGTTCCTATTCAGCCATCTTGGCTCTCTCTCGAAACAAGTAATTCTTACCAGAGGGGAGCCAAGGAAATGTGTTTGTATTAGAAGAGTTGTTGTGTAGGAGTCAGTGAGAGATTAGTGCTGCCACCACAGCCCTCACAGCTAGCTCAGCAGTTCTCACTTCTTAAATGGATTAAATAGTCTCATGACTACACTAGTGTCAAGTCATGGAGTTAAGGTTTAAAATTGTAAGGTACTAATAGAGGTCTGTCTAGTTTAGTCCATCATTTTCCACTGAATGGACTCAGGGGACTTTTCCAAGACCACACAATGATTGTGTTTAAGCTGTGTATATTAGTCCTACTTGACCCAAACCTCCATGCATTGGGAGGTGGTATTGTTGGATCGAGGTGGTTCTGTTTTGGAGGGCAACCACCCATTTGACATTTCTTAAGCCAGAGCCCAGCACCCCCTGGCCTGTTACCCATGGTGCTGTCATATTTTGACCCAAAGTGAATTGACACCTCAGATGTATTTATCTCTGAACAGAGACTAATATTTCTGTATAACCATTTACTCTTCAGGGGAGAATCAGTTTGAAAAAGACTTCATTATGGGAAAAACAATCCAAGGTTAAATAACACAAGCAAAAAAATTGAAGTATTTTATACAGTGGTCAGAAATTATCCTGAAATGATACTGGAACACACAATGGAAAACACAAGTTAAAAACTCAGTTGCGTTTAATCTTACAAGCATCATAACAACTCAATTCTTTTTTGCTTTAGATACAGAATTACTTTCTCCTAGATCGCCTACTTCCCCCGTGTACCCATTCTCAGGGGACTTAATTGAGGCCCTCCCCTGAGTCCCCAGGACCCGTACGTGTCTCTGTCAGGCAGTCGGGATACTGTGCCAACTTTGTCTCTTCATCTTGCTGCTTCCCTCAGTAGACTTAACCCTCTCCATGCCCTGAACAAACCAACTTCCACTGCATATCAGCAGATCTGACAGTATCTGGTACATTCTAGTATTCACTAAAACTCTGAAGGGAACCTAATAATTTAAAGCAGTCACAAGATTTTGCATGCTCTTCTGACTAATATTATTATTACATCTTGTAATGTGGGGAAAATACAGTTCCAGCATATGTAGGTTGTTAGAAAAAAATCTCTTGTTGTTTTAAATCTTAAGATGGATCTGTCCCTCTACCCTAAAAATCAAAAAGAGTATATTCTTACATGTATCTTCAGTTAGAATTCCTACTGAAATATTATGAGCATGAGTACAGATAGGATGAGGAAGGATATTTCTTGTATAGTAAAATGGCATTCCCCAATCAGTTCTGCTGTAATTAATTTAGAATTTAAATCTAAAAATCCAGACGTTCAATGATGTGTTCAATAACTCGTGCTGGGATCTATTTTTTCAGTAATGCTTATCTTTCCAAGGGGCATAATTAATTTCTTCACTACTACTCTGTAAATTATTACAGAAATTACAAATCTACTAAAAAATCAATACAACTAATTGTAAATTAATAGATTTCTAAGTGTGAAGGAGTGTGTAATAATGGAGATGAGTTCTTTAAAGAAAATGCCAGTTCCAGTATCAAGGGCTCAGGGCTCCAGCTGTTTCATGTGACATCTTCAAGTGTAAACACATTTCTTTCCTTCCCCCAACTCTCCCCCTCCACCCCCTCACTTCCCACTGATTTAGTCTGCCACTGCCGAGAATAACATTTCCATTAGCCACCTACTGTTAAATCGCAGAGTAACGATGATAAAAAAAAATTCCAACATGCAAACAAACCAATAGAGAAACAACTGTGGTTACCGTCTGTCTCCAACATTTTTTATGGGGCCCACCAGTGTTGAAACTAAAGGAAAACAACCTGTGGAGTTAAACAAGCTGGATTGAATAGGGAGCTCTAGAATAACAAGTGCAAGTCTGAATACAGCGCGTTTATAATTCTATATTTGATAAACTGAAAGAATAGTCTTTAATATTATATATGTGTGTTTATGAATTTTAGCGTGAGAGTAGTTATTTCTATGTATATATGCCACATCATTGCCCATCAGTTTAAGGCAATGATGGGCTTGTCAATAATAAGACCAGTAATTAGCACCATAATATTGAATTAATCAATGAGAATGTACTATGGTCTTATTGTGTCCTGGGCATTTAGATGAATTTTTTTAATGATATAACTTGACATTAATTTAGCACTTCAAGATTTACAAAGTGCTTTAGGTTTAGATTTTGGTCTCAAAGCAATAAATTAAGATAGATGTTCATTAAGTTCTACAGGCGAGAAAAGTGGTGGAGGGAGGTTCAGAAACCTACCTTGGATCTACAGCTGATTACTAGTCACGATGCTTTCACAGAACCAGTTATATAGTAGTATTCTCTTTCAGTACACGATGTGGTTCCAGAATTGTACTTGAAGTCTGATAGCTCGCTCAAAGTAAAGCTCTATGTTTATGAGCTCCCAGGAAGGAGCAGCAGTCACCAGCAAAGGTGCTGGGCATATAGGCCTAGACACCCCATCTTGCACAAGTCTTTCTTTTAGCTTGCAGGAACCTGGAAGATGGTCAGCTTTGACCAAATCTCTATTCAATGGTTAAGGAACTGGCTAGGTACCTAAAGCAGAGACACAAAAAAGGTATCTGTGGTTCTTGCCAGAGGGGTGAGTCAAAGGTTGAATGGCTGCCTGCTTCCCTGCCCCATATGCCTGTGTTATTTGGTTACTTCCTGCCCTCATGGCAATTTTGGTATATATGGGGATGGAGTGGGAAGTGGGACCTTGCAGATATGGGGAAAAGAGTTTGCTTACTCAGCCTTAGGCTGAGAGGTGAACCTTAGGATGCTCACTTTCACTAAAACTGATTGTAGTCTACACTAGTTTGGCAGGGGGAACACCATAGCCTCTTTGACTGGAGTTTATGCCCAAGAGAATCTATAGTGTAAGAGAATCTACAATGTAACTGAACTGCATTTTCAATTCATTACTACTGAGTAGGTTTATAGTGTGCACTCATGATAAAATTTTAACTTAGTGTAATTTAGCCAAGTTATAAAGAGTCTTCATATTACTGTTATTTGACATTTATGGTCTGTAACCATGTGCGTGTCATGTGCTTTTCAGAACATAAACCTGATCTGAAAATTTGAAATTTTAAATCTAATGTGACATATGAAGACAGTAAACTACATCCTTTATTAACTTGAACTAGCTTATTTTTTCTATTGTTTACTATTCATGGGGAGTAGGAAAGTTCAATATATAAATCAACCAAACAAAACTAAAACACACCTATAAAATGAAAATAATGTAAAAATAAACCAAACTAAAATAAAGCAAAATTCATAAATAATATAAATAACCAAACAAAATTAAAAATTGATCATGTGAGGATAGGTGTTTTAATTTTGGAACAAATAAATAAATAAACATGTACACTTATGTTCATTTCGGCACTGTTTGCAATAGCAAAGACCTGGAACCAACCTAAATGCCCATCGATGACAGACTGGACAAAGAAAATGTGGCACATATATGCCATGGAATACTATGCAGCCATAAAAAATGATGGATTCGTGTCCTTTGTAGGGACATGGATGAATCTGGAAACCATCATTCTCAGCAAAGTGACACAAGAACAGAAAATCAAACACCGCATGTTCTCATTCATAGGTGGGTGTTGAACAATGAGAACACATGGACACAAGGATGGGAGCATCACACACTGGGGTCTGTTGGAAGCGGCAAGGGAGGGACAGCAGGGGGTAGGAAGTTGGGGAGGGTTAACCCCCACTGTGACGGTATTAGGAGATGGAGCCTTTGGTAGGTAAATAGGTCACAAGGGTGGAGCCCTTAGGCATAGGATTAGTGCCCTTATTAAAGACGTGAGAGAACTTGCTTGCATTCTCTCTCTCTGTCTTCACCATATGAGGATACAGCAAGAAGAAATCCAACTGCAAGTTAAAAAAGGGTCCTTCCCAGGAGCTGAGTCAGTCAGCACCTTGTTTGTGTACTTCAGCCTCCAGAACTGTGAAAAATACACTTCTGTTGTTTAAGCCACCAGCCTATGGCACTCTGTTACAGCAGCCCAAATTAAGTTAGCTTCTCCTAAATAAGTAATAAATACTTGTTATATGATTATGGAAAATTAAGAATAGAATACTTTGTTTTTAATTCAGGGGCTTTGAATCCTGATTTTTGTCTAACCTACTAGTATTCCCTATGTTTTTGAAATTCTCTTTTGAAATTTTAATAGTTACATAATATTAAGGGATAGGCAATGTTCGAAAGATGTTCAAAGAGTTTATATGATCAGCTATTCCTCCATAGGATTCTGACTAAGAATTCTTTTTTTTTTTTTTTTTGAGAAGGAGTTTTGCTCGTTACCCAGGCTGGAGTGCAATGGCGTAATCTCGGCTGACTGCATCCTCCACCTCCTGGGTTCAGGCAATTCTCCTGCCTCAGCCTCCTGAGTAACTGGGACTACAGGCACGCGCCACCATGCCCAGCTAATTTTTGTATTTTTAGTAGAGACAGGGTTTCACCTTGTTGACCAGGACGGTCTCAATCTCTTGACCTTGTGATCCCCCTGCCTCAGCCTACCAAAGTGCTGGGATTATAGGCGTGAGCCACTGCACCCAGCCTCTCTCTTTTTTTTTTTTAACTTTTATTTTAGATTTGGAGGTACATGTGCAGGTTGGTTATAAAGGTAAACTGGTGTTGTGGAGGTTTGTTGTACAGATTATTTCATCACCCTGGTACTAAGCCTAGTACCCAATGTTGTTCTTCTGCTCTCTTCCTCCTCCCATCCTTCCCCTTCAAGTAGGCCCCAGTGTTTGTTTTTCCCTTCTTTGTGTCCACTAGACACATCTCATCATTTAGCTCCACTTACAAAGGGGGAAAATGCAGCATTTGGATTTTGTTCCTGCATTAATTTGCTAAGGATAATGACCTCCAACCAATCCATGTTCCTGCAAAAAAAAACATGATCTTGTTGTTTTTTGTGGCTGCATAGTATTCCATGGTACATATGTACCAAATTATCTTCATCCAATCTGTCATTGACGGGCATTTAGGTTGATTCTATGTCTTTGCTGTTGTGAATAGTGCTGTAGCCAACATTCATGTACATGTATCTTTATAGTACAATGATTTATATGCCTCTGGCTTTATACCCAGTAATGGGATTACTGGTTCAAATGGTAGCTCTGTTTTTAGGAACTGTCACATTGCACAATGGTTGAACTAATTTACAACCCCACTGATGGTGTATAAGTGCTCTTTTCTCTGCAACCTCATCAGCATCTGTTACTTTTTTTATTTTTTAATAATGGCCATCCGGACTGGTGTGAGATTCTATCTCCTTGTGGTTTTTATTTGCATTTTTCTAATGATCTATAATATTGAGCTTTTTCTCATATGCTTGATGGGCAGATGTATGTCTTCTTTGGAAAAGTGTTCATGTCCTTGGCTCACTTTTTAATTCATTTTTCTTGTAAATTTGTAAGTTCCTTATAGATGCTGGACATTAGACTTCTGTCAGATGTATAGTCTGAAAATAGTTTCTTCTATTCTGTAGATAGTCTGTTTACTCTGTTGATAGTTTCTTTTCCTGTGCAGAAGCTCTTAAGTTTAATTAGGTCCCATTTGTCAATTTTTGTTTTTGCTGCAATTGCTTTTGGTGTCTTCATCATGAAATCTTCGCCCGTCCCTATGTCCAGGTTGGTATTGCCTAGATTGTCTTCCAGGGCTTTTATAGTTTGGGTTTTACATTTGAGTCTTTAATTCATCTTGAGTTGATTTTTGTATATGCTGTAAGGAAGGGGTCCAGTTTCAGTCTTCCACATATGGCTAGCCAATTATTTCAGCACCATTTATTGAATAGTGCTTTAGCCATTGCTTGTTTTTGTCAGTTTTGTCGAAGATCAGGTGGTCATAGGTGACCTTATTTCTGGGCTCTCTATTCTATTCCATTGATCTTTGTGTCTGTTTTTGTACCAATACCATGCTGTTTTGGTTACTGCAGCCCTGAAATATAGTTTGAAGTTGGGTAACATAATGCCTCAAGCTTTGTTCTTTTTGTTTAATATTGCCTTGGTCACTCAGGCTTTTTGTTGTTGTTGTTGTTCCATATGAATTTTAAAATAGTTTTTTCTAGTTCTGTGAAGAATGTCATTGGTAGTTTGATAGGAATAGCATTGAATCTGTAAATTGCTTTGGGCAGCATGGCCATTTTAATGATACTGATTCTTCCTACCCGTAGGCATGAATTGTTTTTCCATTTGTTTGTGTCAACTCTGAGCGTCAACTCTGATTTCTTTGAGCAGTGTTTTGTAATTCTCATTATAGAGATCTTTCACTTTTCTGGTTAGCTATATTCCTAGATACTTTATTCTTTTTGAGGCAATTGTGAATGAGATTGTGTTCCTGATTTATCTCTTGGCTTGGCTGTTGTTTATGTATAAAAAATCTCATGATTTTTGCACAATGATTTTGTATTCTGAAATTCTGCTGAAGCTGTTTATTAGCTGAAGGAGGTTTTGAGTTAAGACTATGATGTTTTCTATATATTGAATTATATAGATATCTACAAATAGGGATAGTTTGACTTCCTCTCTTCCTGGTTTAGTGTCTTTATTTCCTTCTCTTTCCTGATTGCTCTGGCTGGGATTTCCAATATGACGTAGAATGGGAGTGATGAGAGAGGGCATCCTTGTCTTGAGCCAGTTTCCAAGGGGAACACTTCCAGCTTTTCCTTATTCAGTATGATGTTGGCAGTAGGTTTGTCATAGCTGACTCATTATTTTGAGGTATGTTCCTTTAATACCTAGTTTAGTGAGAATTTTTAACACAAAGAAATGTTGGATTTTATCTAAAGTCTTTTCTGTGTCTATTGACATAATTGTGTGGTTTTTGCCTTTAGTTCTGTTTATGTGATGGACAACATTTATTAATTCATGCATGTTAAGCCAAACTTGCATCCCAGGGATGAAGCCTGCTTGATCGTGGTAGATAAATTTTTTGATTTGCTGATGGATTCAATTTTCAAGTATTTTGTTGAGGAATTTTGCATCAGTGTTCATCAAGGATATTGACCTGATGTTTTCTTTTTTGGTTGTGTCTCTGCCAGGTTTTGGTATCAGAATGATGCTGGCCTCATAGAATGAGTTGGGAAGGAGTCCCCAGTTTTGGGAAATAGTTTCATTATTAATGGTACCATCTCTTCTTTGTACATCTGGTAGAATTCCACTGTGAATCCATCTGGTCTTGGGATTTTTTGGTTTTTGGTTGGTAAGCTATTTATTTTAGCATAGATTTATTTATTTATTTTAGCTTTAGATTCAATTACAGAACTCATTATCTATTTATTTATTTCAGCTTTAGTTTCAGTTACAGAACTCATTATTGGTCTGTTCAGGGAATCAGTTTCTTCCTGGTTCAGCCTTGGGAGGTTGAATGTCTCCAGGGATTTATCCACCTCTTATAGGTTTTCTAGTTTTTTTACATACAGGTGTCTGTAGTAGTTTCTGATGGTTATTTTTATTTCTTTGGGGTCAGTGGTAACGTCTTTTTGGTCATTTCTAACTGTATTATTTGGGTCTTCTTTCTTTTCTTCTATTAGTCTAATTGGTGGCCTATCTTATTATTTTTTTCAAACAACTCCTGGATTCATTGATATTTTGAATGGTTTTTCATGTCTCACTTTCTTTCAGTTCAACTCTGATTTTGGTTATTTCTTGTTTTCTGCTAGCATTGGGGTTGATTTGCTCTTGTTTTGCTGATTCTTTCAGTTATAATGTTAGGTTGTTAATTTGAGATCTTTCTAACTTTTTGATATGGGCATTTAGTGCTATGAATTTCCCTCTTAACACTCCTTAGCTGTGTCCCAGAGATTCTGGTATGTTGTATCTTTGTTCTCATTGGCTTCAAATAACTACTTGATTTTTGCCTTAATTTTATTATTTACCCAAAAGTCATTCAGGAGCATGTTGTTTAATTTCCATGTAATTGCATTTGTGTGGTGTTTTTTTTAGTCTTGACTTTTATTTTTATTGTGTTGTGGTCTGAGAGTGCATTTGAGATGATTTTGGTTCTTTTGCATTTGCTGAGGATTGTCTTTCATGGTAGTGATTATCTAGAACAGTCACTCAAATGCATTCAATATATGTGTCACAAAGAACCACACTGTCCCAGCTCCAAAATACTTAACTTTGCCCAGTAAGTTCAGTTGTTTTCACTTTTTTAATGAGTTTAAATAGTCTCAAAACTAAACTAGTGTTGAAGGCAGGTAGTTGAGATTTAAAATTGAAGATGCTATGGAGACATAGTTCAGCCCATCATTTTCCATTGAGTGGACACAGGGAAATAACATCGCTTCTCTAAGACCACCTAATGGTTGATCAAAACAGCAGGAAACCAAATCTCCTGATGCACTATTTTATTTATGCCAGTGGGTCTCAACCCTATCCTTGACATCCTTTTTAATATAAATATTTTCTAATTTTCTCTCTCCCATTTTGAAATGTAATTCATAAATTACATAACTTACACACATATATTTTTAAAACCAACATAAAACTTAGAAAATGAAGAAATAAAAGGGAAAATTATAAAAATACGTATTACAGCCTGTAATGCTCAGACATGGCATGACTGGTGGTCATAATTATGTCAGATGGTCACATTTGTATGTAGAATGACTGTAGAAGTGGCATCTATAAATATAGACTGAGGCACTGGGGTTATGTTGGCAATTCGTATACTACTATTGGATTATCACTGTTGCTGGGATTTTCTGAATTGGTGAACAAATCTTGGTAAAACATTGGGGATAAAAGTACAACTCTCCTTTGATATACACAGTACTTGAACTCCTAGAAAATTTAGTGTAGCTGAAAAATTTGCCCAAAATAATACATGTTTGAAACAGTTTGATTCTGGGTTAAGGGAATTACAAACCAGTTTTTAACCTACATAAATATCCAGTAGAGCATTAAAAAATCTATGTGAGGAAAAATTTTTTGTTGTATGGAGCTCTCCTGCACACTATAGATTGTACAGCATCCTTGGCATTGTTCCACTAAATGTCATAGACCTTTTGCTGCTTAGAAATTTCTCCTACCTGATATCCTAGGTCATCCCTGTTAAGTTCAGCCTTCCACAAAATTCTAGTGCATGGACACAAGGCAGCCAAGTACTTTACTATGCCTAGTAAGAGAGACCTTTGCTCCAGTTCCCAATAAGTTCCTCATTTCCATCTGATACCTCTTCAGCATGGCCTTTCCTATCTGTATTTCTATGAACCTTTTGGCTACAACCACTTAACTAGTTTCTAAAAAGTTCCAAACTTTCCTTCATCTTTCTGTCTTCTTCTGAGTCCTCCAAAATCTTCCAACCTTTGCCTGTTACTTCCACATTTTCAAGTGTCTTTACAGCAACATCCCACTCCTTATACCTAGTTTCTGTCTTAGGCTCTCCAGAGAAACAGAACCAATAGTAAACATATTAGTTTCCTGAAACACATGTTTCTATAATATATAAAGAAAGGGGATGTATTAGGGAGAATTGGCTCAGAGGATTAAAAAGTTCCATGATACTCCATCTATAAGCTGGAGAATGATAGAAGCATGGCTTCTAGAGAAGTTGGTAGCATGGCTCCTGGGGAAGGCAGTAGCATTGCTTGCTCCAATTCTGAATACCTCAAAACTAGAGAAGCTGACAGTGCACCCCCTAATCTGGGGCCAGAGGCCTGACAGACCCAGAGAGGCCACTGATGCAAGTCCCAGAGTCCAAAGGCCAAAGACCTTGGAGTCTGATTCCACAGGCAGGAAGAAGAAAGAGTGTACTGCTACAAAAGAGAGAAAGAGGGTTTGAGCAAAAAAAGAAAAGCAAGCTGAATGTCCTTTTTCTTCCACCTGCTTTGTTCTAGCTGTGCCTGCAGCCGCTTGGGTGATGCTCACCCGTGCTGAGGGCAGGTCTTCCTCTCTCCGCTCACTGATTCACATGTCAGTCTCCTCCGGAAACATCCTCACAGACACACCCAGAAACAATACCAGCCCTCTAGGCATCCTCAATCCAGTCAAGTTGACACCTAATATCATCCAACACAGGAGGTGTCAGTTTTCTTAAAGAATCTCTGAACTAAGGTCATATTGCCTCCCACTGCTACAAGAATGACAGAAGAACATTCTAAATAGAGGCTTTTGGAGAAAAGGTTTGACTTTCCTGGTACAAAAGAGTTTTCTTTGTGAAATAAAGTATAATAATCATAAATCATCTATTTTTTCTTACCCTTTAAAAATACGACATGTAGGGGTGAAAATGGTGCAGAGGATGTAGCTCTGGGTTGGTTATAATAAAAACAGGATCTGATAATTCTATTATTTCTCATACAAAATGATATCCCCTCCTTGTTCAGCTTCTCTCCCTCAAACATATTTCAGCACGTAAATCTTGCATTTATATCAAAATGCCTTCATTTTTCAAAATTATTTACTAGAAGTATAATCTTTGCCTTCTCTTTTGGAGAACCTAAGTCCAGAAGGACTCAGATCCAAATTCAGGCTTTGCCTGACAATTCTATCCTTAAGAGTAATTCTCTAGTTACCTTCCATGTCATATAGTTGGGTTTCAAGATGGACATTCTAGAAATTAATAATTGGGCTATTTAAATCATATTGACAAATGCATTTCTCTCTTTGAAACCATATATTTCTCAACAAGAAGTGGCAAAAATCAATAAATTCATGTTTAACTTACAGAATGTCATAAAAATTTTTGTTGTGCTGCAGAGCAAGGAAACATGCTACCGGTCTGTTCATTCGGATAAGAACATTCTTCTTTGAATTGCAGTTTTACTATGTATTTATCTGTATTATACAAAAGCCTGTGACAATCAAAGAGGAGAAGGTTTGCATCTTTGGTTTCACAGAAATTTGCATATCAAAAATATGCAATGCTGTAGTGATATATTGCATAGAAATATACACTTCAATAAGCATAATATTTTTCTTGGCACTTTTGAATGAAATACTTAAAGCAGTACTTTGCCTGAGTTCTAAATGTTTTCCACAGAAATCCTCCACATCTATGTTTCATTTTTATTTTATATAAAGAGGTAAAGAAATTCGTGATGTAATATTTTCTTGTATAATAGCATTAAATTAGTGCCTTTCTTCTGGAATGCTGAAAGCACTGTTGTGTTCCCTTGCTTTATCGTTATATATAGCATATTTGTGGAACCAGATAAGACACGCATTATTTCTGTTTTGGAAGTAAACAAACTGAAGTACAGAGGCAATAAATAGGCAAGAGCAAGGACCTACAACAAAATATGTCAGGGTAGAGGGGACTTTTCAGAGAGCTGGATCCTAGGGTACCCTGAGAGAAAAAGGGGTACCCAGAGAGAAATCAGGGGGCTCCAGCTGATCACTTTGAACCTGACTCACAAACGAGTAGGCTCAACCATGGCTTGGAGGACCCGGGAGTATCAGCTGACTTAAATGTACTTGGATACCCCGAAGTGGCGTGCAGGCACGTCATTAGCAGTTATCAGGGGGTATTCTACTTTTCCTAGCAAACAATTTGAATGTTAATATTTTAGCTCCAGTGAATACTAAAATTATTATCTTCCCAACCCTTCCCCTCTCTTCTTGACATGAAAATAGAGCTGTATCAGGTCTTACAGAATTGTGTGTGTGTGTGTGTGTGTGTGTGTGTTGGGGTAGGACAATGAAAATAAGGTGTTGCTCAATCTTAGAGGAAAGGGAACACACTGCACCTG